TCATAAAAAAGATAACCAAACAAGCTTTAGCTAGCAGAATAAAAATGATCAGTGTTGTTGATAAATCTTCTTAAAACTGAAAAAGTAATATCAATATCATATTAATTGTCAGTTAAAGTTTTTTTTTTCATTTTCTACAATTATGGTTGTTATTTACGTTGAATTTAAGATAAAGAAAATAATGAAAATTTTGAATAAAACTTAAGCCCCTCCTCTGTTAATTAGGTAATTTTACTTTGAGCACCCCCTATCTTGGCATCAATTTTATGTAATGCCCTCCCCCTCTGGTTTTACGCCCCCACCTCCCCCCCTCCTATAATTATTGCACAGTCCCTAATACTGCCGTCTTCTGGTAACCTTATGAGTATTCAAAAACCATAACAGAGACGTTGTTAGATTAATTGACATTTACATATGCATCTGCTATATAATAATATAACAATGTAATAAGATTTTTACTACTACTCACTGGAAAAAATCGCGCGCTTTAAAGGATGCAAATATGATGTAAGTGTCCAAAATTCTGTAAATTTAATGGAAATCATTTACATCAAATTTACAGAATTTTGGACACTTAAACCAAATTTACATCAAATGTAAACCTTTAAAGCTCGCGATTTTTTCAAGTGTACTACACTAACAATTTATTCAAATGCTACTGTGATTTTTGATACTCGACATATTTCCAGCAACTTCAATTCACAGCAAATAATTAAAAGAAAAAGAACAGAAGATCAGAGAAAAGTGAGGCATTTGGCCTTTAAAATATATAAAAAAGTCGTTAAATGATGATATAACCGGGAAAAAGGGATGTTCAATTTTATGTGCGGAAAATAGCAAACGTCAAGCAAAGTAGAAGTAACTAACGAGAAAAGCATGAAATATTTAAAGGAAATTGTGAAATCATTGAAGACGTTGGAAGGTTTTTTGATATCGACAATGATTATCAAAATATTAATATGAATGATTGAATCAGTTATTTTTATGTAAAAAAAGTTGAGATTGTTCCATCAAAATGAAAATTGAATAAATAATGGCAATTAATATTAATTAACTGTTCTGTTCTGTTCTGTTCTGTTCTGTTCTCGTTATACTAACAAATAGCGGCTATTTAGAGACAAATTGTGTTCAGTATCAATGAACCAGAATACAATAAAGATGAATGAAAAACGGTGCCATGTGGATTCCAAGGGCGGATCCAGCTGAAATTTTAAGGGGGCTATTTGGTTTTAGGGGTCTAAATGGGCTTTATTTGTTATAAACAACATTGAAAATAATAAAAATCTATTTACTTTTTCAGCTCAGAGGAGGGCTACAGCCCCCATTTGCCCCTCCCTGGATCCGCCCTTGGATTCATCTTCATTGTGTTCTGGTTCTTTGATACTGACAAATTGTCTCGCTATTTGTTAATATTTCGTTTGATTTTATTTCATGGTTTTCCTGC